GAAATTTTCGAAAAAAAAAACTGGGGGAGGAAAAGGGTATTAAGTGAGGGAAACTTAGAGAGATGGTAGGCAAGAGTGAGATAGTGCTAGAGAGAATGAAATTTTGAGGGGGAGGGGTTGTCTGATAGCGCTGTTTGTTATCGAAGTTGTATGCTGCTGGAGCTCAGGCGGTAAAGGGAGCGGAGAGGGTTGGGAGGGGTGGTCAAAAGATTTCTAGTTGTGGGGATGTGCCCGGTCTAGAACCAGGCTCCTTCGAAGTGTAACAAAACATTTGCTTCGACGGCTTTTCCTTCAATCTGCTCACTTTGAACGAATTGGGGCCCATGGTTAAACTGAGTTCCTAGTAAAACCAGAGAGTCAAAAGCTCACCTCTATGGTGCCGCATTAGCTGTGCAGCTATTTCTACGCTTCTTTTGGCCATTTCAGAGACGGAAATGTGCAGGGGTGGGATCTCGAAAAGCGCCTGCTGCAATATGACATCATGGAATGGCTGCTACTGCATCGCTTGAAAGGTATTTCATTTATTTCAGGAGCGGTCTAGCTTATAATCTATTAGAAAATGAAGACAGTTCCCGAGATTAAAAGCTGAGCTATCGCTGAAATGATTAAAGAATCTAAGACAATGAGCTTCTGCAAAGTAGACCGAGCTTGGGTAGGAGAAGCTTTGAAAGAGACCCTTGTGACCATCGTTAGTGCTACCCATTATTGTCCTTTAATTGACAGAATCCTTCATTTTCACAGCCCTTATAAGTAAACCGCTGTGGCTAGCTCTTTGAATGTTTGTATGTGTTTGTCTTGTCTTTGGCTAGCTCTTTGAACGTTTGAATGTTTGAATGTGAATTTCAATGAACCAGTCTTCTGGAAAACACCTTTTTGTGGACGAAGTTGTCATCGCTTTTATAGCTGTTTGTTACACTTGACCATCGCACTTCTTTCAGAAATCAGTGTCCTGGGATCGGATTTCGTTCTGTCGTTCATCAGATCTGTCGGAGGAGAACGGCACCCGCGATGTCTTCCTCAAGTCTTCAGAATGTTTGTAATGGTAGTGCGATCTTTTTCAATGGGTAGGATTTTCTTTTAGTTCGGACTTGACCTGACCCGAATGTGGGAATCCTATACACTCAACAGAAAAAGACAGTTAAGCCAGAGAGCCTTTTCACCCTTCTTGATAACAAACCCTTCGAGCTTGATCCCTCTAATATTTAGCTCCAACCAAACCGAAAACAACCTCCATTGAGCGTTTACCAACGTAGAGCTGTCACGGGCTGACCGGGCTATCTGCACGCAATGAATTTTTTTAATTTTCTTAGCTCAAAAAAAACTGTGACAATATTTCGCGTCTCTTCCTCGCTTTAATGAGGATACAAATTGTACTGTCTGTATTCAAAAAAACAAATCAAATTGTTAACGGTCCCGGCATTACTGGCATGTATTTCACCGTTACGCTCCTCACAAGGAAAGGATGGTTGGTCGAAGTGGCCATTTAGACAAGATGCATACACACTGATGCGTCTTCGGACGCTGATTTCAAATCTGCTTTCCATATCTGCTAAACGATTCTCTGAGAAGAGATATGCAGGAGGTTGTTGTACGGAGCACAATTGAGCTTGGTAACACAAATGAGACGTGAGTCGTCACACGAAGTGCATCGGTGGCCTAGTGGGTAGTGTGCCGCGCGCAAGTATGCGAGAGGTTCGAATCCCTCCATGAATCGCCATTTTGCATTTTCTCAAAAATGCCTCCTGCACATCCGGAAAGCACTTCTGCGAGGCTAGGAGACCTGATTCTACCAAAAAATTTTATTTCTGATGTGATAGAGCCATTCTGGAACACTCCTAGTGGGACTTCCTGATTGTTGGTTTCGGCGGCATTATTCGTTCCGTCGTGTTGTGAGGCCAAACTGATTCCAGATGGCATGGAAGCCAAAAGTGGATGTCGTGGTTGTTATCAGGTGCGGTAAGCGACCAGAGACGAAGTTATAGCGGGGAGCGCGTCGCGTGTGCGAAGGATTGAATCGGCGATGATGCCAGCAATTAGGGATTTGGTGCCTATGGTTACCCCACAGTATCGAAAATAGGTCGAAATCTCAAATTTGGTTGAAAACTTGTCTCTAGGGCTAATTTGAGCCCAGAGCACGAATATCACACTCGTTCGACGTAAAAACGCTTGCCAAGGACGTTGCAGGTTCCTGCACACCCTGCCCCCAGGAATGGTACAAGAGCGTTTTGCACGAAAATGATGACGTGCCAGTGTTGGATGTTCCAGGCACGAGAGCACGCTCTGTAGTGTTCAGATTCCAGGCCAGATTGGCATTGGAGCACCTCATATACATGCTGGAAATGTGTGGCCCTGGTCAAAAATCCTGCATAACTTTGTCCAGGAAGTCGTTTAGCAGATATGGAGGGCAGATTTGTAATCAGCGTCCAAGGGCCCATCGGGCAGTATACGTCTCATTTCGAATGGCCACTTCGACCAACCATCCTTTCCTTGTCAGCATTCATTCAGTTGCAAGCAATTGCCTTTAAACACTGGGCAGCTTCATATTATGGTTCTTGAAAAACCTGCATACCTGAGTAATGATCTGTTAAAATCTGAGCTTCACGGCCCTCAAAGCTTTCTAACCGCAAGATGACAATTCCTCTCCTCTCAAAGTCTCGAAAGAGTCTGTTTAGAGCAGTGACCGTGATGTATTGTAAAATCTTCAGGGCCACTTGTTGAGGATATGTTCGAACTGGTCGCATGCTATTTTCCAGTTGAATTCAAGCAGGTAATTCAAGTTGATTTCGAATTTCATAACGTAGTCACGACATGTTTTGAACGATTGGTATCGAAGGCTATCAGAACAGTTGAGCTTTGACTACAGTGGAGAGCGTTAATATCGAGAAGAAGGAATGGAGAAGCAAAGAATCTCTGGGACCGCAGCAAAGCCCAGGGGTTGGAGTTATTCTTGTACTGTTCTTGCTGTCTAGCTGAGAGGGTTGAGGAGCGTCAAGGTTCCCAAGTCGCGAACTGAGGAATAGTAATATGTATGGAAAGGAGAAAATAGCTTCCGCTTTGGCAAATTGAGAGAATGGGAGATTCGAAGGATAGGAGAAATCCGCCAAATAGGAATGGGAATCGATTGACACCGTCATTCTCCCATTTCACTAGGTCGATATCCATGTATACTTTCTTTTGCAAACATTCTACTCTCCTAATCTCCTATTTTCCTCGGCCGCAAAGTATGAACATGGCCTAATTGGTGTGTCCACCCGTCAGGTCTAGTTTCAGTGAAACAGTCGTATAATAGCATTAGAATTAAAAAATGTCTGCAAATAAATCAAGATGCTCAGATGAAAAAGGGCAAAATACCGTACTTTCATTACCTTTCTTTGTGGTCTAGGGCATCTTTGCCAAATATTCTCCTCTGACTCCTCTCCTTCCGCCTAGTTAATTATGCAACTCCATCCTTTTGAGCAACTAAGAGCTGCTTCGGTTGATTCTTTACGACCTCTCAGTGCAACTGCCTGTAATTTTACTGCACATGAATTTTTTTTTATTCGGATCTTGTTTGGATTTATTTTGTTTTGATTTTTGTTCATTGTTGGTCTAAAATTGCCTCACTCGCTTTGTACTTTGTTTGTTGAGCGCGGTTGTATCACGGCATTAAATAATAAAAAGGGCAAAAAAACTGCTGCTGGTTTGGCCAGAACGTCCGGGCGTCTGTTCGAAACGTCAGATAAATGCGCTTCATACCCCAGAAAACCGTTTCGGAGTCCCGAATCTATTCCCTGGATATAACTGCGTTGAAACTGCACCAATGCAGATTCCTGCGGGGTGTCAAGGACCAACCGATCGAAAGGCACCTTAGTACTAACAAGCCACGTCCCTCATGGCGTGGCTCACCGGAGACATTCCAGTGAAAGCCAACACTCTTGCGATGGATTTCGGACGGTCGAAGTACCCCTCTAAAAAGATGCAGAATACGACACTCCTTCGCTGGAACTCCGGCGATAGTGGGCTCAGCCGCGTCCCATCCGTGACAACAAGATGTAGATCTCTGAGGAGTTTGTGAATGGCGTTCTTACTTCTGCCTAAGTTCAGTTTCATTTTAGTGCTAGAGGGTTTCCATTTTTCAGCCTTCTAGTGACGTACCAATCACGCAAGAATTGTTGGCTCAAGGGTGTCTGAGATGCTTGACTGCTCACCCGGACTTTGGCCCTTTCTGTTATATGCTGATGAGGAGAAATTCCAGGGACGGATTGAATGCACCAGTGAGCAGAAACACGAGACCTGTGAACTGCTGGTAAGTGACTGGATTTAATTATCCTTCATTCCTTACACTGCGTTGTAAAGGAAATTTAGATAGAAGCAGCTCATGTTTTCCGACCGGAAGATATCGTCGATCATCTTGAGCCTATTCTAGGAGGAATACGTGCCACTGGACTGAATCCTAAATGTGAGTTGTTTTTCACTGGACAGTGCTTTGGCTGACTGGAGGAGCAATGTGAAAGTAAAGCGTTTTCTGAAACATAAGTGGTTCCAATTTCATTGCGTCATTCACATTTGTCGGCTCCCTGCCGCTTTAACCAAGCTTCTACTTTTTGGAGACATAAATTGGTAATAGATTTGTTTGGGAGGATAAGGTTCCTGTCTTATGCGTAGGCTGACCCCCGCAAGTGATTGTATAAGCTACATCGTATTCAGTAAGCCAGCACAATTGCATGGAAGGTCACCCACTAAAGGGCACCTCAACTTTCTAACCTCGGCTCCACACGGGCTTTGAAGTTTACTGCAGGTTGCCACTGTACGTCTAGGTTTCCGAAAGGTAGATGGCAGAGAAGTGACATATGTCCCTTCATCTCCAATTTAACAAAAAAAAAAGAAATTCAACAATATGCAATTCATGTGTATTTGTATTGGGCTGAAGTGCGTCGTCCGGTAGAGGCGGAAGCACGGAGTCGCAAATCTAGTCTCTTCCCTTATTGTAGGAGTGTCAAGATGGGATTAGATTTCGTTGCGCACCAGCCATTTTTCCTTTTTGCGACAGTGGCGACTCGCCGAGTTCGGCGCCTCCAGACGCCCCTTTCATCGCAGCAAACATATTACGTACGCCATCTATGCGAGACGTTGCCCCGGGCCAATCCCGCCAGATTTCAATCTCGGAAGCGAAAACTGGTGTAAGACTCTTGCGGGATGTAAGAAACGCGTAAATCGGTTGGCCGCCACAGTCATTGTACATCACGTCGCGTTCAATAGCCACTACGATTCTGAATGGAAGTAGAATGCGAGCCACATACCGAATAAGATTGATGAGCATGGGAAGATTTGCCCCTTTTATACCTTATCTTATAGTAGCCTTACCGTAGTTTTACAGCTGAAATGCCCGATTGCGTTCCACGAGCGCTCGCAGCTGTCACACGCGTTCTGAACAAGTTCAGCACAGATTCGATATGAACTGGCTCTCAGTTTGATCAAAGTAAAGTTCTCCTTCACGATCCTGAAAGCACAGAACAATCGATGGATTTTAGATCTTGAACCGTTTGTTCTTCAAGCCGAAATGGGTCTTACTGAACGGGCACTGAGCCTGTTGCGTTGCGCTGCAAGTGAGGGACCAGCTATTCGGAGCACGATCTATGATCGCGTGATTCCGTGGATTCTTATGCTTGTTCAGGGTATCATTCCTAGTAGAGTTTCTTTTCAACGATTATTGTTCAAGGAGTACCAACTCAGGTGATGTCGTCAACGCCAAAGCGAATCGTCGGGAGGTTTTAGAAGAAGGGCTTCGTTGCCTCATCATCTGGACAAAGGAGATTCATGACAATGGATGTGGTAGGTAGGACCAGTTTTTCTATGAAGTTTTCTTAGTTTCGGCGAAGTTTATTAATATAGATGCTTTAAGTTTGCAGGATAGTCAAATATTATAGCAGTGTTCAATCCTACTATATGGAAACCGCTGAATAGGAGCGTTTGCCTTCCTGTCTGTCTGCCACGAAATTCATTGCGCTCGTCGTAATGGGACGTTGATCAGAAAGTGATATAGGGACTGTGGCGGGGAACATTATTTGCGGGTGACATGAGGTGACAGCGGCTAAAAGGACCTGATAGGGGTGTTAGAGCGGAGGGAGTTGCATAATTCATAGCGCACTTTTACGATGACAGAAACCTTCAGCGAGACATAGTCCTACCAAAGCATCCATACCAAAGGAGAAGATCACAATAAAGTTGCGTCAAGCTTTGCAGGTGCAATTTCTCAAGTCTAGCTATTTGCTTCATCGCCGCGAGCGTAGCCAGTTGTCGTCGGAGCAAGGAATCTCCCTGAGTACAACTAAATCCTAAAAGCGACGTACAGTACGCTAGTAAAGACGCCAGAGAAGACGATATAGAAAGTGATCAATGGTTACAGCTGACCGTTTTACACTTGTCTTTATTTTGTGGGGTTGTGCACATTGAAAAGTGTTTCTCGTTGAGGGCCCTCGTTTTTTTTGCCAATAGATCCATTCGCTTATCGTTTTCTCTGAGAAGTTCTCTATTACTAGTTCTCGATTAATGGAGCTCATAGAACGGGGAATCCTAAAACCTGCTGAATTATTTTCCTTGTAAGTTGTATTCATTCATACTGGTCCTAGTAATCTTATTTCAGACGATGTGCTGCTCCGGTTTGAGTCTTCGTTGTTTGCTTCATTAGAAGTTGCGAGAGAGATAGCTCCTAACGAGGCCCTTGCTGCTCTGTACGATTGTTCAGCGGTTCGTCTCGTTAATTTATCGGGTTCATGCCATTTTCTTCGATTTGTTCGATTCCAGGTATATCTGAGAATCGACAGTCTCCCAGTGGATATCCTTGAAAGAATCAAGAATGGAGCCCTAGTGTCTTGGAACACAATGAAGAGCGAAACAGTGCAGTACGTGTGTTCCACTTCTTGTGGTATTTCATAGCTTAGCATCTAGTTTCAGAACTGCTTTTCTTCGGTTGGTGAGTGTTCTTGCTGAACAGGACTGGCCGTTTGTCCGAAAAATGATCTCAAAAGATTGCGGATCATGTGGGTGCATACTTCTTTTTTTCAAAATTTCCGACAAAGTTCTCAACAATCATCATCATAGAGAGCACGTGTAGAAGCCGCACTCCTAGAAATCAGGATGTGAGGAGTGGGTGCAGGGCACGTCATCGTTGTGATAATCACATTGGGGGGGGGGGGTCGTATTTGGTCAGAGAACATTTCTTTTGATATTTGATTTCTTTTGTTTCACGGACGCTGTAGAGGGGGGGGATCGTACTTTATTATGAGATGAATTCGCTGCCTTGCGAAGAAACTAGCTCGAAGTTTTGGACGCCCACACAAGGATTAGGCGGCACTGCAACGATTATACTGACTATCGTCCGATAGTTTGAAAATAGTAGTTAGTTTTTTGACGGACCTCCCCCCCCGCGCTCGACAAATCTTGAGGAAAAACTAGAAATTTTTCGGGAAATGCTGAAAGAACTGGAGAAAGGGGTAGGAAGTTGGGAAAATCCTGAAAAGTGGTAAGGTTTAGGATGGTGTTATGGGGGGGGTCGTATCAGGAGAAAGAATCGGGGAGGTGGATCCGTTATCTTGCCAGGAATCATCACAACGCACATGGCGTGCGCTGACGCTGGCTGTCCCAAAATCGTCGAAATTGGAAACAGATTTCGTTTTTTCTTGGCACTCGATTTGGGCGGTTCTTAACAGATATGAGCTTGATGCATTGAGATTGGGAGTTGGTTAACCTACCGCTTGTTGAACTGTCTAAGACAGAGCCATGATCTATCTGTCAATAGTGCAGTAAAAAGGCGAAACGAAAGCGAGTAAGAACTGTTGGAATGCGCTTCAACTATTAGGTTGTCCGGAAAGTTCTCAGCGTTTTGTGCACCTATTTTTTGTACATTCACTGCTGATTAAAAACTCATTCTGCCTTGCTTCTCAGTAGCATCCTGTAGAGAATTTCTTGCCTGCCGCTATTGCTTTGTTGTAATTGCCGTTTCACCATTGCTTGATAAACCCCCTTTTTTCAAGATTTTTTCAAGCATGTGAAAAGAGCACTTCGGACGATTTTTTTCTTCGACTATAAATTGGGGCAATCCGCAATCGAAACAGCTCAACAAATTAACCAGGTGTGGGGGCCCAATAGTGCTAGAGAAAGCACTGTGCGGCAATGGCTCAACAAATTTCGTTCTGGAGATTTCAGCCTTGAAGATGAACCTCATAGCGGTCGACCTAAAGCAATATCTGACGAGGATTTTAGGGGGATTTTGGAGGCTGACCCATCCCAAACAGTTCGAGAGATAGCAGAAGAGCTAGGCGTTGGCAAATCCACTGTTGCAGATGGTCTGGCTTGGAACGTCACTGGCGAAGCGTGAGAAAAAACTTGACAATTGAGGTGCCACAATCGGGAGTTGCGCAGGAATCGGCACGTCTCGAGGTTCCTTCTGCATTGCTTTTGCGCAGCAGAAACGACCTGTTTTTTGGGCCGAATTGTCACCTGTGATGAAAAATGGGTCATGTATGATAACAGGAGACGTTCCGGACAGTGGTTGGATTTCGACGAACCACCGAGGTAATTTTCAAAGCCGAACCCTCACGAAAAAAGATTCTGGTCACGGCTTGGTGGTCATCGGCTGGTGTGATCCACTATAACTTTTTATCACCAGGCCAAACCATCACAGCAGAACCCTACTGTGAAGAAATCGACGAAATGTACCGAAAATTTTGTCAGATGCAGCCAACACTTATCAAAAGAAAGGTATCTTTTGCTTGAAAATTAATTATTACATTAAAAAATATTCTTTGAAAATTTCCTTTGCATGACAACGCCCGCCCACACGTTTCACAAATCACTATCCATAAATTGAACGAATTGGGGGTTGAAGTTCTACCTCAACCGCCATATTCTTCAGACCTTTCGCCAATCCGACTATCACCTTTTCTAACATTTTCAGAACTCCCTTGCTGGAAAATACTTCATCAATCAGGACCAGGCAAAAAAGCCTTCGTGGATTTCGTGAATTTTCGACCACCCAGTTTTTTACTTTGATGGGATTTCTCGACTGCTGTCACATTGGCAAAAGTGTGCTGATTCGAATGGTGCTTATTTCGATTAATCCGATGAGTATTAAAAAAGTTACGATCGTTTAAAGTGAAACACCCAAAAACGCTGTGAACTTTCCGGACAACCTAATAAGACACCTGTTTGTTCTGAACTTCATAGGAATATATGGCGGAGAGACACTGAGCCTAGAAAAAAAAGGGGCAAGCAGTCGTGTAAAGGAAGCACACAAACGATGGAGACCCAACTCTACAAGCAAAGGTGGAATTATAAAGATCAAAGAGAAGATTATAAAGGAAAGGAGAGGTATCAAGACATGGTAGAATCCCGGCGCTCCTATCACAGTTTCGGGCTGCGAAAGTAGGACGTCCTCTACGTTGCGGACTGCAGCCTGATCCAAGAAACGGCTTCTGTACGTTTTTTGACAATGAACTGTGTCTTGAAATCCGAGTGTCATCAGCCTGGATTGAATTTTAGACCATGGGTTATGAAGAAGCAGTTGTCATATCTTTCATGGGCTCATTTAACACTTGTAGTATAATAGTTGCCTCTTAGTGAAGTTTATTATTAGTTACAGTTTCATTCGCTTTATATTAGCATGAACAAGTGCTTAGACGCATTTTTCAATTTTCAGCAGAGGTCAGCTCTTTTGCTATGATCTGTGCAGCTGTCCATGATGAGCAGTCCTATGTTGAAACGGCACCGTCTATCTTACTGTTTCGCTTTTCTTGCAATGTAAGTTTTGCAAATCCTTTTCTTTCTAATAGTGGTAACTTGAAGTACTCTAGTATTGCTAAGCATTTGACGCAATGAGCATTTCTTGCTAGTTCTGCAGAAAGTTTTGGCAGTGCATCTAGCCAACAGGGACCTTTTGTTACACAAATTTTTTGTAAGGTGTTGATATAGCGGTCTGTTGATCCACATGAAGGCGTAGCACCCTTTTTGGGTGCCTGTGATAGCGATCTTCCCCTTGTCTCGGGAGACAGTGAAGACGAGCCGAAACAGAGTGCGCTGTCACGTTGTACTCCCTTTTTCACACCATGCTTCACTTTCTTGGCACCCCATGCAGATATGATACCCGTGTTTAGGAGGTCGAGCTATCACCTGGAAACAAATTTCGGCGAACTGGGTAATTTTTTGTATTTTGGCTCTGGCGCCTGTGGCTTTGGCACCAAGCGGGCTCGTGCCAAGTGGATGTGGACAATTGTGTTTAGGAACCCAAATTGCTCCTCGGGACACGTTCTAGCCAAACGTTCTTGGAGGAAAAAGTCGGTAGTAAGTGACCTGATTTCGAATGACTGGAGCAGTAAAGGGTAGAGTGCCTGGTGGAAATGTGCTCTTGCATGTTTTTATTGGAGCACTGGTTAGGGCCTATTCAGTAGTTTATAGGGTCTGTTACTTGTTGCTGTTGTGGTTCCATTGACCTGGCCCTAACAGTGGTCCATATTGTGTCGCTACCGGCATTTTCGCAGCTAGCGTCAGATGTTTTGCGTCGAATGAATGTAATATCCTTGCTTTGCATACCAGACCAGACTTCGCGACAAGTTTTAAGCGAGTTTTGAGTTTTATGCTGATCGCCAAAGAAATTTGACAGTCATGGGTGGATAGTTCTGAACTCCCAGGCGCTAATAATCTTGGGGTGGGCCACACCTGTAAGCACTTGTCAGCATACCAAATCCTATAAACTGTGTACATGTGAATACCGGAAAACCTTGTCAACACCTTGGAAGCCTTGTCATGACCTGTCAAGCATCCTCTAAACTCCTGTTCAACTTGTCAAAATGACTTTCCAAGATTTGAAAAAAAGGAGAAATGTTGTTCCAGTGACGCTGGTACCATTTCGCCACGTTTGACAGGGGTACTTAACAGCAATAACGGGACTTGCAGTGTGGGACATGATCGTGAGGGGCAGAAAAACAAGGACACACACTGAGGAAGGTGCAAGTGTGCCTGCCTCTCCCCCTCCAAGGTTATCTATCCCAGATTTCGTGTGAAAATCTTCAAAATAGCAGAGATTACAGGGATTTTTTTCGACTATCATCTTTTCGACTATAATACCTCATTGAATACCCATTCCTGTTACTGATTTCGCGATAAATAAGAAAAAATGAACTACATATCAGGTCTATTCAGGTCCAAATCGTGAAATGTTCGATTATTATTTCCGAATGGCGAATAAGCTTGTCGACTGCGAGGATCCCATTCTGCTTGCCTCGAACTTTGTCGATCACTTTCCACGTCAGTAGCACTCAGGTGGTTAATGCTTGCAGCGTTGAACTTCCCGACCGTTCTACCGAACTATATTGCCTTCATAGTTAGATTGTTCTATGTCAGCACAAAACCTGCGTTGGGTCTTTGCGATGGGGGGAGTGCCTACTGTGCCACCCAGGAAGAATGTCTTTAGATCGTTGACCTTTGCTTCATGATTCTAGCCATTCTTCCTGTTTCCGGTGCTACGCTATTACACTCATTAGCTGGAGGGTCGTTTTTTGGCCGGAGATATTCGAATGAGAAAAACGTGGCAGAAAGCGTAGGAAGTTGCGGGAAGTTCAGGAAGATGTAGGCCAGGCATGACGCGAATGTTAGACGCGGTCGCACTAGAGGAGGAAATTCTAAGGGGATGGTCGTATTTTGCAGAATCTCCTCCAACAGCAGGACGTGCCCTGTGTTCTGTGAGAGCATGTCAGATATTCCTACAGAGCTAATTAGGAGAGATTCCACAGAGAACTGAAATGTAAGGGTGTTGATGCAGTTGGAATGTTGAGATCCATCTGATGTACATATTAGTGTCACTTCTAGAGGTTTTTCAACATCAAGGATATGCAAAGTCTCTATTTGCAGATGATTTCGCCTCCGGAAGAAGTGATTGATGCATTCGCTGAAACAATGCAGTCTCTTGGGTTACTTCTGGGTAAGGAAACGTCTGTCGCTCATCGGCCAAAATCAATCGCGCATATTGAAATCTTCGCCAGCGGAATTGACATGGCTTCTGCCTTTTCATTATATTCAGTCGCCATGTATGAGGTTTAAGGAAAGAACTTGGCTACCTTCGTACAAAATGCCACATTTAGGGCATTATCTCATGCTAGCTAGGTTCATTCCATAGAGAGCGCGTGCTGCAAACCTCCATAAAAAATGAGCGTTGAAGAATAAACTTATGAGTGGTTACGTTTCCACTCACGAACCTGTAGTTGCCACGTGACTCGCTAGGGAAGTATGAACTAAAAAGTCCCCAAAGACAGTCCAGCGAGGATTCTCTGGCAGCCTCACTGTACGAGTTCTTCGGATCTGTTCATTTCATGCCAGGAAACGATGTACTGTCGCCTCTGGCTAACTAATCATTTCTTCGCGTCATCCAGTGCTGAATACCATCCAATAGTGATAAAAAACACGGTGTAGAAATAGATTTCGCCTGACCAGGAAAAGTAGCCATAGGCGTCGCGTCTTGTGCTAAAGTTGGAGATTTTGGAACACCCTGTCTGACGGGAATTTGCCCAAAGCAATTAAATCATTTTGAACGCGTCTTACCTGCGAGCGTTACGCTTCAGGTGTTTGCGCATTGCCGGGGCAGCACAGCCCGCTGCTAATGTGACGCGGCTGCGTTCGGTAACGTCGAATCGAGCTGATTTCCACGGAGCGCGAGATTCCCGTTTTCACTCTTCTAGGCTTCGAAAGGTAGAAGGTACTTATTTTGAAACAGTTACAAATTGTGTGACTCTGAGAATCTGAAAGAATGTAAGCCATTGAATAAAGGACCTTGAAGAATGAGGCCAGCCAGAATGCAAGGAAAAGACCAGTAATTGACATAAGAAATAAACAGAAATCAGAGCCAGTACAATTCAGAACTGCCTCAGCAAACTCAGCCACTTCAGAAGCTTGAAGAGCTGAAAAAGTGGGAATTTGCAGCCGAATTCCATCGAAATCAGCTGATTCACCGTCACCGAGCCGCAGCCGCTGTCGCGTCACAGTGCAGCGCGGCTGTGCCGCCCCGACAGTCCGTAATGATGAGGACTGTAAACGAAACTAACGAAGGAGAACGGAATCGCGAATGAGCAGGAGTGGTCAGCAGAAACTGAACACACAGTGATTGATGCTCGCCCGCTCCACCGAACCAACAACTCCGGCTCGTCTCAATCAAAGGGAACGTTCTGGTAAGGCTGCGCCAAGGTTTATATAGCAGTCAAAGAACTGCTACTATGCGAGCCGCTACCCACTGTGAAGGCCGCGATAAGTCGGACAATCCCAGAGGACTGCATACCCAGATACTGAACAGGAAGATGTCTACCATTGTTGAGGTGAGAAAACTGTCTTCAAGATGTGCCATTCGCCTTTTGAAAGTGCACTTCAAGAGCTCCAGAGGCTTACCACTGAAATCTTTGCCGATACAAAACACAGATGTCCATCAGTATGCGGCTACTGCGTATGATTTTGTCTCGCGAGCCACGAAGTGATGCAAAGTGATGGAAAAGCTAAAAAAAAAACGCAAGAAGATGACACCTATTCCTCTCGATATCAGTTGAAATAGTGCTTAACAGTGAAGAAGATGTTTCAAAATGACCAATAGAATGGCTTGGTCTTGCTGTAACAGTAACGCAAAATTATCCTTCTTTTACGCTGAAACGTTTCACTAGGGGCGTAATAGTTCCTAGTAATCATGCCGGTTGTGAACAAAGCCCGCCCCTATTTCCCATTCTGAATCATCATGACGTTGATCGTTTAGTACATTTTCTGTGGTCTAAAGCTATCTCTATTTTCAGGATCCGCACTTAATGAGGCGTATATTGACGTTGCCTGTGTGTGGGGAGCGATCATCATATCGTCTTTGCACTGGAATCGCTAACCACGAGAATAACGTTGCTGAAGTGCTTTCTTTGAAAGATGCGGTTTCCTTCGAGTGAGCATTTAGGTCCTTTATCAGGGTCTGGACACGTGAGTCTCCTAGGGTTTGGAGTCGCATAATTGCAGTCATTGTGGAATATTTTTTCGTCAAAGTATTCCACAGTGAGCAAGGAAGTCCAAGAGGCAAGAAATTCTTCAGTGGTCCTTATGCCAGTCGAGGGCCGAACATCAAGCGTTTATTGCCGTATTCAATCGCTCCATGCTCACTCATGATGAAATTGGTGTTATCGCTCTGTGTATCCCGCTAAAATGACAGGAATTCATAGTAGTACCCTCCCCTCTTGCCCGATGGAAGTATTTACTGATTTGTTCGGTTTTTTCGAGTTCTGGGTTACTCTTATTGGATTTTGGATTTTTAATGTGTTTATTATTGGTATACCCTTATTCATTTGTCGTTCTGCTTCGTTTCAGCATAGACTGTGCGCTAGCAAAAGGATGGCTGTTACGCGGAGCGGCTGAGGGCCTCACACTCTTCGAAGAGGTGACGTGATGTGAAGAATTAGGATAGTACCTTTAATTGAGAAGATTCAAATCAAAAATTTAGCTGCTCGCTCGTCTGTGTAGGGAAGACGCAGCTAGTGCCGACACCTTTACGCTCATCTCAACGATCTACTCGACTTTGACAGTGCAGCTAACAATCCCGAACGTTGCCTTTTCCAAACTACGTTCTTGTGGAGGCAAAGGTTGGTTCGGAGCTGTTTTGTCTTGAAAATCATAAAATCAGCTCTGCGCGTCTCTACATTTTCTTTTGCTCATCAACAATCCGTTTACTGAGGTAGTTTTTAAAGTAAACCTCGATCTATCCATCTATCCCACGGCTAATAGAGACCATCTCGAAAGTTGACG